TTGTCTTCTGATTTATTAAATGGAAAGTATAGAAGTGGATTAGATTTATTTTATTATCCAACTTCTTTGTGGAAACAATAAATATATATTTTTTTAAAAAATATATATTTTTATGAAGATCAAGTTCCTAAAGAAGAGAACCTAAAAAGTGTATTTTCTTAAATGGAGAATTATTTCCTAGTAACAATCCTTTACCTACTGATGAATAATCATTTCCATTTTTTAAATAATATCCGTCTAAATAATTATATCCACTATTCCATGGGTTTAAAAATACTCCTTTTCCTGCTTTTATAATTTTAATTCCATAACCATTCTTTTTTCCATAAATAATACCTTTTCCAGCAATTTTATTAACTATGGCATTTCCAGCTGCCCCTGCTGCTCCTGCTATTGCTGCTGTTGCAGCAGTCTTTGCAATTATTGGAGCAGCACTTGCAAGTGCTGTTCCAAGTAATGCTAGAAGAGGTAAAAATCCACCTCTCTTAATTGGAGAATTATCTCCTAATAACAATTCTTTACCTATTGATGTATAATCATTTCCATTTTTTAAATAATATCCGTCTGAATAATTATATCCACTATTCCATGGGCTTAAAAATACTCCTTTTCCTACTTTTCTAATTTTAAATCCATAACCATCCTTTTTTCCATAAATAATACCTTTTCCATCAATTTTATTAGCATTTCCATCAATTTTATTATCATTTCCAGCAATTTTATTATCATTTCCAGCACTTTTATTACCTTTTTTACCACTTTTTTTAACATTATATTTAAGTTGTGCTCTACTCAGTAAAAGTGTTATACCTTTATTTTTTGAATAGGCTGCTGCCATTCTGTTTATTTGTGAGTCTGTTAACGCTAATTTGTGTTCACCATTTAAATCTTCATATGATAGTTTTATACTAACATTAGTATCAGATTCAATTGCGTTTTTAATTTTTTCATTCTGACTATCTGACAGATTGATATTAGTATAATAGTATTTTGTCATTTTATATATAAAATAATTTTTTAAATCACTTTTGTGATTATTGCTTTCTGTAATGCTTTATACTCATCATCATCTATTTGCCCCTGTCGTAACAACTCATCACAAATAGCAACAATCTCATTCCTTGTTCCAGTATTTCCTGCATGTAAACCAGCTAAGCGTAATTTAAGCATATCAAATAGTGCATTTGGATCACTAGGAAGAATAACAACTCCTTTTCCAGACTTTCCAATCATCTCTTCCCAAATAGGTTTTATTACATTAGTGTACTTATAACCTCTAGATGATCTTGGTTTTGCTAAATTTAACTCAGAGCGAATTGCATCTGTTTGATCTAAAATTTCTTTATACTTATTACGATCATCGTTAGTATATCTAACAGGATGAGATTTTACTATAATCTCCCAAAGACCTGTTGTACCAATGTATTTTTTACCTTCAATAATTATATCATTACCTTCAATAATTATTGGTTTTTTACCAATGTAAAATTTTTCATTACCTTCATTGTAATGTATACCAAATATGTCATCTGATACTTTTTTACTATTTTTAGTTGTATATAACTTTAGATATTCTGCTGCGATAGGTCCTAATCTCATGTTATCTACAACTTCAGGTGGCATGATTGCTTTAGTTTCAGAATCTAGTAAAGCAGGATAATTTGAAAAAGTATTTGCTATTTGATCAGCTTTATTTTCTAATTTAGATATACCTTCTTTTATTCCAGATTGACTATCAATTATTGGTTTGTACAACTTTTCCAAGTTAGTCTGTAAAGCATCATAACCCAACTTTTCATTTACATCATCTTGATATATACTTTTCTTTAAACTAGCAAGTTCTTTTGCTATTTTTAATCTTGCATCAATATCTGTAGCTTTTGCATACATTTTTATATATGCAATAATTTTTTTAAATCACAATGTGATCCCTAGATCCCTAAAGGGATTTAAATCAACATATATTATGTTTTTAATACATAATATATGTTCAAATAATACATAATATATGTTTTTTTTTATTTATTAAGAGTATTATTCATCACTTCTATATTCTGATTTTTGTTAAATCTCATATTTAGCAATTCCATAGTTTCTTTCATTGCTTTCTCTTTACCTTGATTAATGAATGACTCTTTAGTCTGTTCATCTATATCATTCTTAGATTTTGTTCTAATTTGTTCAGTCATAGATTGAAACTTTTCAAGTTCTGAAAGTATCATATTAAATTCTGCATCATCAATATATTGATCTGATATAGCTTTAGAAATAAGACTACTTATTGTATTTAGTTTTGCATCAGCTAGTACTTTAATCTTTTCATGCTTTTCTGCTTTTATTGTAAATTTTTTATTAACTTGTGATCCTATTAGTGATAATACACCCATACCTAATGCTGCACCTTCACATGCAATAGCTACTGGTGTACCAACTATTGTTGTTAAAAAACCAATACCAACAGCTCCTAATGTCATAGTGCTTGCTAGTAATGTATTATCAACTGCTGAAATGATTCTTACAGCTCTGTGATATTTTTTACTTAAAATCTCTCTTCTTTTCCTTTCACATTCTATTTTATCTTGAATTTCACTAATCTTTTGTAATCTAAAGTTATGATCTGAAATTGGTGGTGCAGATGGATTTTCTGAAAACTGGTTTAGATCTGGATAAAGCTGCTTACATTCATTATATTCATTATTATATCCATTATTACATAGCATTTCTTTTTTCTATAAAGAAAAATTTGTTTTAAATCACTTTTGTTATCAATGCTTCGCTAAATCACTTTTTACCAAAATTAAATATATCTTCATCAGATTTATCTTTAATTACTTCTTCTATACTTGATAATAAAGATTTTACAGATTCTTTATCACTTTTCTGTTTAGTTCCTGAGTCATTTTGTTGTCTCATTTGTTCTTCTATTGCATGTTCTAAAGCATCTCTATGTGATATATAATTTACATTTAAAATACCATTATAAGTTGATATACAACATAACAAATCTCCTTTTTTAATGTTTATATCTTTTTTATCGTTATTATATACAGTTATTTTAATATCGTCAGTAGACTCTGTTACAATAGAATTTAGTAAATTTAGTTCTGGTTTATAATTTTCTGCAATTGAAATCACTATATGTCCTTTATCTATTTCAACACCACACATTAAAGAAATGTTATTATATGAATTTGATTTTACTGTAAAATCTTCTTGTGCGAATACTTTAATATGTCTATCATTTATTGCTCTATGTTCTAAATCTGAATTAATATAAAAATTTATTCTATATTGTTCATTCTTTTCATAATATAAAAACATTCTACTATTATACATTTTATAAATGTAAAGATTTTTTTTAAATCACTCTGTAATCCTCATATCTATTTTGTTTTTAAAGTTCTTGCAATATAATTTAAAATGCTTTCACCTTGATGTAAAAAATTACACTTTTTATTATCATTATTTTTATATAATAATATTTTTTCTCCTTTTTTATTTTTCTTTAATTTACTCTCTACTAATTTACATGGAGTATAATGACAAATTTCTACATTTTCTTCAATTTCTTTTAAATAATGAGCATATTTGCAATTTATATTTTTACATTCTTTTTTATCAAGAATATATTTGCATAATTTAGTTTTAGCTTTTCTTAATTTTAATAATTCTGACTTTTTGGGATGAAACAATCTACACTTTTTATTCTTACATTTTGGGTATTCAGAACATAGAGATAAATGTCTATATTGACATGAAGATTTAGTGCATATCAGTCTTTCCTTTACAGTATTACAATAAGGAATATCATGATTGTATTTACATCTATGTTCAAAATGACAATAATTATCTTTTAAAATATTTTTACAGAAAATGGGTAGTTTCTCTACAAAATGTATTGTTGAAGGTTTTCCATCTTCAGTAAAATTAATATCTACATTAAATGGTTTTTCAAAACTAAATTTTCTGTTTTTGTAATGTTTTTTAAAAGAAGTATCATCAAGAGCAGGAAAATCATCATTAATAACATTATAAGTTGGAACATAATTAATCCATTTCAGCTTATCTTTATGCAGTTCCATGATTTGAACTGTTTTTAAAGGAATTGGAACTATAGGTTTTTCTTTAACTTCTTCATCATCTGATGTATAATAAGTAGCTTCATCAGATGTATAATAAGTGCCATCTTCAGAATCTGATTCTTCAAATTCAAATTTTAATATTTCTTCAAAAAGTTTAAATTCTTTTTGAAATTCTGATATTTCATTAATTTCATCATCATACATTTTTTCTTTTATTATTTGTAAAAAATACTTTAAATCAAAAAATTTTAAATGAGTTAAATAATTTTCTTTTATATATAAAAAGAATGGAAAACGAAATGCAAAATTCATTTTTAAAATCAATTGAACAAAGATTAAGATTAATAGAAGAAAAATTAACTATAATTGATATTCATGATATTGAAATGACTGAAGATTCTGAAGTTACTACAATTACTACTACTGAAGTTACTGAAATTACAGAAACTACTGAATACGATAATGATATTGAAATGACTGAAGATGATGAAGATAATGAAGATAATGAAGATGAAGAAGATGATGAAGATGAAGAAGAAGTTACTACAGTAACTACAGTAACTACTGAAATTACAGAAACTACTGAATATGATAATGAAGATGATGAAGATGATGATGAAGAAAGTACACAGAATTAAATATTTTTATTTTTTAACAAAAAAATAAAAAAAAATTGAAAATGATATAAATAATTTTCTTTTATATATAAAAAGAATGGAAAATAATATTGAGAATAATAAATTTTTAATAAAACCTTCAACTCAAATATATTATATTACTACAATATTAAAAAAATATGGGTATAAACAAGGTAATAAGGTTGATTTTGCTGAAAGTATAGGTAAACTTGATTTAATTAAATTATTAAATCAATTAGGTGAAAAAAGTACAAAAGATGTACAAAAATATTTATATTCGATGGGGTATAGTGCAGCAGAATGGGCAATTAATTATGCTGTACACAAAGGTCATCTTAAAGCAATTAAATATTTACATGAATTAGGATATGAATGTGATGAATTTGCAATTTATTATGCTGTACACAAAGGTCACCTTGAAGTTGTAAAGTATTTAATTGAAAAAGGGTATAGAGGAGCAGAAGATTCAATTGATTTAGCTGCAGAAAATGGACACCTTGAAGTAGTAAAATATTTACATTCTATTGGATATAAAGGTACAAAATTTGCAATTAATTATGCTGCAGAAAATGGTCACCTTGAAGCAATTAAATATTTACATGAATTTGGATATAGAGGAGGAGAAAATGCAATTAATTATGCTGCAAGAAATGGTCACCTTGAAGTAGTAAAATATTTACATTCTATTGGATATAAATGTTCTGAATGGGCATTTTATTCTGCTGCAGAAAATGGATATATTTAATAATTTTGATACACGTAGTGACTATGAATTCTAGTAGTGATAAAGTTAAGCAATGTTTCACTACTACGCATAAGCGCTACTATGCATAAGTAAATCTAGCGCATGCGCATTAAAAATAAAAAAATTGAAAATGAATTAAATAATTTTCTTGTATATATAAAAAAGAATGGAAGACGAAGAAAAAAAAAAAATAAAAATAATGTTATTAAAATATTAAAAGCAATTATTCGCGCTATAGAAAATGGTAACCTTGAACGAGTAAAATATTTGCATAAATTAAAGTATTATTATGAAGAATTAGCAATTAATTATGCTACTGAAAATTATGACTTTGAATTTGAGCAACAATTATATAAATTTAAGTATAAATATGAAAAATGTGCAATTAGTTCTGCTGCTATAAACGGTCACTTTGAAGTAGTAAAATATTTACTTGAAATTGGATATAAAGTTGATAAATTAGCAATTAGTTATGCTGCTATAAATAACCACTTTGAAATATTAAAATATTTACATGAATTAGGGTATGAATGTTATGATTGGACAATTGATTGTGTTGCTAAAAATGGTCACCTTGAAATATTAAAATATTTACATGAATTAGGATATAAAGGTACAAAAGATGCAATAGATAAAGCTGCTCGAAATGGTCACCTTGAAATATTAAAATATTTGCATGAATTAGGGTATAAAAGTTCAAGATATGCAATTAATTATGCTGCAGAAAATGGTCATCTTGAAATATTAAATATTTACATGAATTAGGGTATAAAGGTTCTGAATGGGCAATTAATTGTGCTGCAGAAAATGGTCACCTTGAAGTAATAAAATATTTACATGAATTAGGGTATGAATGTGACAAATGGGTAATTGATAATGCTGCACAAAATGACCACCTTGAAGTAGTTAAATATTTACATGAATTAGGGTATAAATAAGAAGCAAGAAAAAGTCACGTGACCTGTGACGTCATTTTAAGAATTTTTTGTAATATTTCATAACAAGAAATAAAATTTAACACTTATTTTAAAAAAATCAATTTTTTTAAAATAAAAAATTATTTCTTATCTAAATAAATTATACACAACATGGTTCAATGTTAACCCCAATATTCATATTAATTTATGGTTGAAAATTTGGTTGAAAATAAAAATGAGCAAATACCGGTAAATCTCTTACTACTGTTTCTTCAAAGCAGTGTAGACTTCAATCTTGTATTTGATAAGTATTCGGCGGACTATGCTTTGAGAAATAGATGTATTTCGCGTTGTATTGAATTCTGTGTTCAATTCTTTGTAACTAATTCTTGGATTAGCTCTGACAGCTCTAAAACGAACACTGTCGTCCTTTTTGGTGGTTGACAAGGGTCTACCTGGCCTCGTTTTCTCGCTGGCACCACCAGTGTGAAGAAAGTTTTGTTTTGTTGTCCGAACGCATTTCTCAGAAAATCCAATTAACTTGGTGATTTCTCTATTACTTTTGGTTCCTTCTTTGATGTGCGCAATAATTTGCCATCTTTCACCTTGAGTGATACGTCTTTTGCCCATTTTTCACGTCTTTTTAGTGCAAAACTAACTTAACTTTTGTTTATTTATTAAATAATGATTAACTAATTCCAGATAAGTTATACTTATATAAGGTTTTTTGACAAATTCAATTAATTTAGGCCTATTAATGATAAATATGGGAAAAAACTACTAATTAACTATTAATTAACAAGATATAAGACTTTTTTGATTCTGCCTCTAAATTTATGAACAAAATAAAATCAAGCTTATCAATTAACTTTTTTGTGTTAATCGGTATAGAATGAGTAATAAACATCCTGTAAAAAAAATTAAGGTACTCTATAATAGAGTTTTACTTCCTCTTTTAAATTATATATCAAACATAGCGGTAGCACTTTTATTTTATTTTTATTTTGAGTATTTTCTTACATTAATGAAAAAAAAGTGAATGCGTCTAAATTTATGAAAGCTACTGTATATATATATATATATATATATATATATATATATATATATATATATATATATATATATATATATATATATATATATATATATATATATATATATATATAGGGTGTCCCAGTCGCCAATTTTAAAAAAAATCTGTTCATATTCTTAAAACTTTCTATTGGTTCTCACAAGCAACTTGGTTAAATTTTTTCAAAATTTTATTGGATTTAGGGGAGCAGAAGTAATATTTGGTCTCAAAAGAAAACGAAATTGTATAAAAATTTCATAAATCATTTTATTTAAAAATAATTATGTTAGAGTTTATTGAAGAAAAAGATTTTTTATAACTAAAAATGAAAGAAGTTTATTTTTATATAACTTCCCTTCTTTTGTGACTCAACATGACATACTTTTGAAAAACTTTTTTTTATAATATTAGGGACCCAGTAAATGTTCAAGGGTCTTGTGCTCCCCCTAAATCCAATAAAATTTTGAAAAAATTCAACCGAGTTGCTTGTGAGAACCAATAGAAAGTTTTATAAATATGAACATATCTTTTTTAGAATATACGGGGCGGCTGGGACACTCTAATATATACATATAATTATAAACGTACTCTATAAAATAGAGTACTCAACGACACTCTCAGTTTATCAAAATGAAGAGCATGTAGAAGTGCAAAGATCTTTTGGTCTGTCTCCAAAAGATGTGAAACAAACGGTATTCCAATTTGTGAATAAAATATGGTTGTTCACAAGTTTAATTGTGTAACTAAGTCGACAGGAAAAAAATTGTTAAAGGGTTTTTGAAATGTCATTAGAAATTTTTTTTTGTAAAAGTTGCTGAGCCAGCGTCATTGCATCGAGCCATTGGTTTTGATAGAATAAAAGTTAATCGTTTATATAATAAACTGGAAAAAATAATGTTTAATGCCAACGGAATGCAGATTATTCCACCATTAAACTCAGTGGCGGATTATCAAATTATGGGCCTATAGGCTTAACTAACTCATGGGCCCTATATACCTATATTTTTCTAAAAAATACGTCAAAAAGTACAATTTTAATTTTATTTATAATAATAATATCTATAATAAAATCTACTTTTATTTCAAAATTACAAACAAATTATCAGGTATATTAGGTACTAGTATACATTTTATAAATGGCTGACCCAAAGAAAAAAAAAAAACGATCAAAAATTCATTTTTCTGCATTTTCGTTCAACAAAGTCTGATAAAATTTCATTGAAGTCACAGCTTCTTAGGATGTCAGATTCAGTACACATAACAGTAAGGGAATTCAGTTTGTCATCACCCAAAGCACTTCGCAGATAGTTTTTTATCCGTTTCAATGCAGAGAATGATCTTTCATCACTGCAGTTGGTGATCATCAAACTGAGGTATATGTGAAGTGCTGTGGCAACATTTGGAAATATATCTTGTAGTGCACTGCTGTTTCTCAAAGACCGATACATATACAGCTCTATGCTACATTTCAGTTCTTTCTCATTCTGTTGCAAGTACGTATCATCTAACAAATATTCGTTGAAGTGAAGTATTTCATCTTCAAATGACTCTTCCAAATCATCTACATAAGTATCTATCAAGTTTCTACTGGCTCTTCGCAAATCAGACTGTTCCAGTGATCGAATGTTTCTCAGAAAACCAAACTTATCACATACACCACTGTATGCCTCTGATCGTTTACATAATGCTGAATTCAAGTGATCAAGTACTGGCAAGAAAACCATGACTCAAAATTTCTGCTGTGCCGAAAACACTGTTTCATCAGCTGATCCATCATGACGGGTTAATTGAACACTTCGCTTTCGTTTCCTCTGATTCTCTTCTTTATAAGAAGTTGACCCTGTTATTTGCTTTCCTTTCTTCTCAAAGAAATCAAACTGTGCTCGAAGTGAATTTACATATTCTTTTAGTGAAGTTAACAGTTGAACAGCCTCATTTAGATCAAGTTGTGGACTTTGCAGCTTTAAACTGGTCTTATGAAAGCGATCTAATATGGGTGTCCAGAGTTCTAATAAAACTCCATATTCTAACTGATCCATCTTCTTTGCAATTCCTGCAGCTGTAGTGCGAGCTTCAACCTTCTCCTCAGGGGTCCTCAGCAATGTTCTCTAACACTGTCTTAACATTTTTAAAGCCTTTGCTCAATGCTTTAGTTGCTGCAGAATGTGCTGACCATCGAGTATCAGAAAGGCGTTTTAGAACTAACTGGTTACTATCCAATCCTTTGGTTAGAAGCTCCCACCGTTGGGTTGATGCATTTAAAAAGACATACAAGTTTTGTACAAAATCAAAAAATCCACTCACTGTTGTCACGCAGTTTACAGCTGATGCACCGACTAAATTAAGGGAGTGTGAAAAACATGGCACATATTCAGCCAATGGGTTCTTCTCTCGAATGCGTGCCTGTAACCCTGAATATTTTCCTGCCATATTGCTAGCATTATCGTTGGACTGACCTCGGCAATATTTTATATCCAACTTTGCTTCTTCCAGAGACTGGAGAGGAATGGATCAAACTGAGCAATCAACTCCAAAATTCCCAAAAAATTTCCATTTGAACTTGACCCCAATATTTCAGTATGTCCTCTAAATGCGAGCCCTCTTTCAGCAAGGAATTTGATAACTGAGACAACTCTTTCTAGCACAGATTTTGCATATGCACATTCCTGTCTGTATTGCTCAACTATTGCTGAATCTACACATCCTCTGACTTGTACTTTTTGGCTGAATGTGATTGTTGCATTTCTATGTGCAATGCTGTTTTCATGTGACTGTATTCGTGAAGCTGCATTTTTCCAATCACAAAAACCATTCCTTGAGAATGAATTATCATCAGCAGAAAATAATTTACATACAAAGCAGTAAATGTGAGATGTTGCTGGTGAATAACACAACCATGACCTTGGGACTTTCTCACCATTGCGAGAATGAACACGATAAAAGAGATTCTGTGAGCAGTAGCGCTTCTGTTTTCCATCAATTTGCATTGAACTAGTGAAGTCAGCATTTGA